TACTCGAATGAGCAGGAGAAGGAGGAGCAACTTTACATTCAACTGATAAATGCTAGGCTTGGCCGACCAAAGGCTATTCTCGATGGCCTCAAGACTCAGCTCCATCATAGGCTCATCGATTAGGGAAGACCTCGGGAAGGATAAGGAAGTGCTACGGTTATGCGGCAGTGAAGTGTGTGGTGGTGATTCCCACAGTATTTACCATCATACCAGGTGGCCCACATTTGGACGATGGTATCACGGCTATTGCAGTCCGAGTTGGAGGAAGGCCTAGGTCCTCTGATAATGGTCAAGTACCTCGAATTCTCCCTCAGCCTGTCCCGAGTCGAAATCGCCTTTGCTGAGGTAATCTCCTCCGAATGGTGTCCATGTCTGGTCGGAGGCCCCACTGTGGGGGGAAATATGCACATAGTCAACTACTTGTGTTGGTGACAATATGTAGATTTTGAGGAAATTCTTATTGCTTCCGGGACACTCTTACTCGAATTCTATAGTTAGTGAGGGAAATACTGAGCTCAGCTGAAGAAAGTAAACGTATTTGTTCCGACGCTAAAAGGTTCATTCAGGTGATGGTCGGCTACGTGTCCCTTTGTAAAGATGTCAACCTTACCTTTGTGGTCTCGATGCTCGGAGGCTCCTTTCGAATGCTTAGCAATTTAGTCATTTTCACACGCTCTATTTTGACAGCAGTGGAGTACTTGCGCCGACAAGTTAATGATGATGGCGTTGAGGAAACGCAAGATGACGTAAGATAGCAAGAATTGGTAGTAGTATTTTCCGTTATTGCTGTGGTAGGTAGACTGAGGCCGGTTTTAATCATGATTATCTGAGTCCATTCCTACACCAAATGCGATCGTTGATGCTGGAGGCTATCGCAAGCTGTTGTGAACTGCTCGAAGGGATATTGCAATATCATTATGATTTGCCGACACTGGAGGGACTCATTCACGAGATTATTAATGGTAATGTAGGCGGCAGTGTGGGAGTATATCTTTGGTTTCCTGAATTTAGTGCGTAGGCGTTCTTACTACATTGTGAAAATCCACCTACGATTTTGAAGGGTATACTGTGGATAATCGTCAGAATTCCCACATTGTTAGCAGCACATGAAGTTGACCATGTGCATATATTCTCCCCACACTGCTACGCTGGTTATGGTTGGGAATACGATGAGCTATTTGGGTTATGGTGCCTGTCAGTCCGATTGAATTGCCGTACCTCGACTCATGCTCAAGCCTTCACTCATGAGGAGCTCGAGCTGTGGCTTGATGCTACCAAGGCCCTGGGGGAGGGGAGGCGCTATCACGGCTTCAGGTGGTGGTGGTAGTAGTAGTGTGGAGTCTGGCATGTTGGGTTATCGCATCAGGGCGGCGGCGGCACCATCGAGGGAGTTGTTGGCGGAGATGAAACCCACAGCGTTGGACTTGTACTTGATGGGTAGTAGTAAGAAGGAGAGTTGATGGCCGTCATGGTCACTGCATGGATGCTATGGTGTTTCTAAACAGCGTGTTGGTGGATTGGCGTTGGGGGTTTATGATTTGGGCATCTCCTGGGGGTAGCAGCAGTTCGGCAGGCGAACCTGGCATCGGTGGTGAAGTATGGTAAAACGTGATTGATGGTGTGAGTAGTAGCAACAACAACAACATAGAATCTCTACCATGCTTGAAGGTGTTGGCGAAACTACGATTGCCTTGATGGTAGCAGGTGAGCATGCTTACCCTCGACCATCCCTCTGTTGCCCTGACGTGTTGATATCATCGAGCTCCTCCCAGGAGAGTACACAGTTATTGCGATGGCCGTTATCTCATCTGGTGACGCATTTATCCTTGCTGGTGACGGTGGGGGTGACTCTGACCATCTACTTCATCTACCCTACTTGTGCTGTCGGGAAGTGGTGTCAGTTGCCGCGGCTTCGACGTCCATATTCATAGCCTCGAGTGGTCGGTGGAGTTCGTCCACGATCGTCGTTGAAGCGGTGTTTGTTCAGATACGCTTGACGGCTCTGCTGCGTGTAAGACTGTAATCACTGAGATTCGAGGTAGATGGTCGTCGCAGAGGTCGCAGGTTCGATCCCTGGTATTGGCATTTTTTGGGTAGATAGTGGCATAACTGTGGACATGGACTTCCCTGTTGAGGATAGTCTCCAAATGATAGCCGCCTGTCGAGACTGCTTATTGGCACTGGGTAATCAAGGACTAGATGACATCCCCGGGAATCGAACTCGGGATCTTCTTAGGGAAGAGCGGCAAGGTTTACAGCGTTGCTACTGCACAGTCCGAATGCCCGGCACCTCGTGGAGTTGGAGGTGCGGCGAATCTCCCAGATGGGAACAGCTGGGCAGAGGTGAGTATTGGTCGTCCATGTGGGCTCTCGTGATTGTAAGTTGGCGACAGATACCATCATTTCGACACATCAGGGTTGGCCATGTTGCCTGTGGGGCCGGCGGCGCCTGCTTTGCTATTACTCACAGTGGCGACGTGTAACGCTGCTCGATCGACTTGGCGGGGAGTAGTAATTTTGAATTATGTAGATATTCTTGGGGGAAGAGCTTCTCGGGGGAAGCGGCAAATTTGGGGTCCATCAGCTCAGTGCCGAGATGCTCGAATCGTTTGACGAAGTTGAAGGTAGGAGGAGGTCCGCGGTTCGATCCCTTGCAAGGTTACTTTTCCGTCAAGATTGTCGCGATAGCAGGCGGAGATAATCATTGCCTTGGAGTAACAGAGCAATTCCATTGTGTTGCTTGGGGTGACAATACGTGCGGGCAACTAGGGGTGCGTTGAGGAAATGCAAGATGAGCAAGATTGCTAAGATTTCCTCTGTAGATCGGCGAGAAGCTTTCATCGAGCGACCGACCACTCTTTGTGGTTCTGCCCAATCAGTCTGACAAGGAGAGTAAGGCGGAGCGAAACGTTGATGGTCTACCATTTTCGTTCAGACTGTGATGACGATGATGACAGAAAGGGTATTGTTGTTGGTGTTGCTGCTGGCTCTGCTCACTCCGTCCTGGTCGACAGAAATGGAAATGCATATAGGTGAATCCCATTCAACGCTGAGGTTGTCTCTGTGGATCGGACTGAGTATTAATGTTGAAATATATCCTCACCTGAGCTCTGGAGTTTCCTTACTGTAAACGAATTCGGATAGACAAGTACAGAAACCGATAAGAATTTGCATATTGTTAGTGTGTGTTTTCCCACACTGCTCCTTCTCATGATGCTTCATAGCCCAGCAGCTGTTCGCTCAGTTGTGGTCTAAATTCTCACGGTCAACTCGGACTAGGAGACAGTCGTAGTCGTTGGAGACTGGAGAGGATTACGTCGATTCGGTACGCGGTCGTGGTAGTGGTAACATAACTTCATCATTCAGAGAAGTCACTCATGCTGCTGCTGGCAGTCTATTCACAGCACTCTGGGGGGTCGGCGTTGCGACGATAGCCTCTCGAGGAGCCAAGGGCATGTTCTATGCTGGAATCAAGGTAGCTGGAGTTGTCCTGGGTGTATAGATGGGCAGAGTTACGCTACGGACCGTTACGGCTGCTCACTTTTACGGTTACGATTCAAACCCCGTACCGTAAAATTACGGCGCTGTAACGGGCCTTACGGAGAGGATTGATTATTATTCAAGTCGCCTAAATCTATTTCATGTGAATGCGCATCCGTAGACGAGGCCGGCTTGGCAGTTCCGGGCTAGCTTGGGAGTAAGACGGATGGAATTTGCAAAGGAGACGATTGGCAAATGCGAAACCAAATGTTACGGATCGGTTGAACCCGAGCCACAGGAAATGAGTTTAACAACTATTGTAGCTACCGTGGAGTGCATTACAGCGAATCTTTCCGCCACAATTCTGAAAAAGCAGTTCAGCATCAACCGTAAAGTCTTAAGGCCTTTCCGCAACCGTAAACTGCTTACGTTACGCACGGTCTAACGTGAACCCTAAAAAACGTTACGCTGGCCATCTATACCTCGGTGCCCTGGATAGAGTATCTTTAGAATCTTCCGCGTGCGCTGCTAGTGGGCAACCCTCCAGCACGAGTCAGTGATGGACTTTTCTCGAAGAAGTTTGTTACTCGAGAGGAACGTAAGTGGGATAATAGTAAACGAGATGGGAAATGAAATGGACATCATCATCATCATCATCGAATCCAAGGGCTTTAGATTGAGTGTGTGTATGCGTGCAGGCTCGTATGTCTTTGGAGATGTTTCTAATTCGACAATGGAGTTCACAGGGCCACTAGTGAGCTTCTAATGAAGTGGCGATGGTCCGGTATGAGTTTTAGAATATGCGCTCGGCATCCCCGTCTGAGTACACATTGCCCGCGCCTGTTGATAGTATTGCGAGCATGGTGACCTCTGATAAAGTGAGCAACTGCTGCTGCTGCTGAACGTTGGAAATGTCATACCATCTTTCCTCCAAATCATCAGATGGTATTCCTATTCGCTCGAACTCGTATAGCATCGTTGACGCCGAATATTGTCAGCGTCGCCGGTGGTACTAAAGTGACCCTCCACGTTACAGGTTGGCGTATCTTAGGTCCCTGCATGAAAGATACGGAATAGGTCCGGTTGCATTCAGGCCTGTCTTTCCCTCGGAACACCTCAGTCGTTGATGTGAATCAGCGGCGGCCTCGTATTCGTGTAACCCACGAGAGCCCATTTTTAGACATCACCATAGACGCCGCGATAGAAGTGAGGAAATTGCTGAGATCATGCTTAGTGTTATTCAGGACAACTCGAGTGGGCGCATATCTTTTCGCTTTCCTGACTTGTCTCTCTCTCCACTGATGCCGCTGGTGGAATCGTCAAGGACCGCTGTCTTCGTGGGCGTGCAGGTGGGTTCGATTCCAGGGAGGGGACATTTTCTTACATTTTTTCTGTGTTGAGACATTTGTTCAGTTATCATTGGACGAAGGGCTGTCGTGGACAACTTTGGATGAGAACTCGCCGAAATTAGCGATTTTCAAGTTCCCCAGCAGGCAACTTGTCGTGAGTATTTCCTACGTGCTCGCTTTGGGCCTATTCTGTATCTTTCGCGCTCGACCTAAAGATTCCTACCAGGTGGTGCCCAACTGTGCCTCAATGGATGGCGGTGCTCCGTTGACGATTTACCTCCCAGGAGCTCCCGACCTGACTATCGACCACCAGGAAGCTGTGCGAAGCAGCCAAGCTGTTCTTCCTGATGATCTCCCGGTGAGTCGTTCGTCTTGTCGCCGCACTTGACCTCTCGCGGATCCTTCCATCCTTCGGTGACGAGACGACTCCCCCCGAGTGACGTATTCCTCTTGTCTCTCTCAGGACGAGTCGTTGGTGGTAGTCTTCACGATAGGCCGCTCCTGCCAGTCGTGGGATACTGATTTTGATAACGTGTGAGTTCAGCGCCCTAGCCGGGGATCGATCCGGGGACCTCTGGATAGGTACGCTGACTCGGCGATGCTAGCTGATGCTAAGCCGAGGGAGAACGTGAACATTCGAGTAGCAGGTTGGAGATCTATAAATGTACCATGGCTTTCTCCTTGAGCTTCGCTCCGCTGTACTTTCAGGGCGTATCGTGCATTTCCCCGTCTTTCGACTCGGACATCATCACCGACTCTACTGCTACCGTCTCGGTGCAAGTCAGTTTCGATGGGGGACAGACGCTGTTGGGTCCGCCTTCACCCTTCAAGGCAGGTCGGAGCGGAGCGAAGGTGTTTTTATTAGTGATTTAGGTATTTTCGTTTGCGATCGATCGCATCGTCCCTGCTGTGTGCGAGGCGACGGTCACGACGGAAATGAAAATTGTCTTGGGTGGCCGGATGCCGGTGGTGACGAAGAAGCCGCGAGTTGGAGTCGGGCTCCATCACACAATTTGTCACGCGCCACGAAATTATGGCAGGTTGTCCTGCCTGGGAAGGCCAATTCCTCGGGACGGAGACCCGCAATGAGGGAAATAACGGAGGTGATGGCGAAGGTGAGTGCGTCGCTCCGCCGATATCATGCGCATGCGTGCATACCAACTTTTCGTTACGACGAGCAGGCTGGCGAGGACGGCTCCGTCCACATCGTTTTTACAATGCCGAAGTTGGAGGATATGATATCGGAATGGGAGGGGGTGAGAGTTCCTTGTGCATGCGTGCAAATGATAATCTGGCATATGTGTTACAGCAGAGATGCATGAAGATCCCAATCGAAGTGTCACTAAATGACGGCGCTGAGTACTCCAGCGAGGGGCGTCAGTTAGTGTAAGGCATGTGGGGACAATTTCGTGGCGCAGTGACTTTTAGATACCTCCTACCGAGAACAAATGGCAGGGGCGGTCAGGTGTAGTTTCGGCGCTTCGCTCCGCTAAGAATTTTTCAGATTCGGCGCCCTTCACCGCTCTACCAGGGTTGCATGAGCCTGTCGAGGCGTGGACAGATAATGGTGGTCAAGTTGTGATTGACAGCTTCGCTCCGCCCTTTTTTAGAGGATACTACCATTGACGTCACCACTGTGAAGCCGGCGGGGACGCGGATGTGTATAAAGCTGATGGCAGGGGACTTACCGGTAGATTTGGAGTATGAGGATGCGAGGGTGAGGTTGAGGTAAGATATTCTTCGTGGTGCGCACTGGAGTCGATACAGGATTGGGCGGTGGAGTGGTATGGAATTTAGTGGTTATAATTTTTCTTCGCTGTGCGTTAAGATACGCGACTGAGGTTAGAAGTGAGGGAGGGGATGATGAAGAAAGGCAACCGATCGATTTGGAAGTAGACGGCTGAAGGGATGAATCACGTACTTGTTATTTTTTCAAGGTGAGGGCGGAAGTCCTCTTCTATGGAGAGGAGAGCATCCCAGTGCTTGCTTTCACAACGCCCATTGTCACTACGTCACAGTTGGGTGTTGAGACTGTTGTCGGGACGGTGGTAGCGTTGGAGGTGTCCTTCGCTGTGGATGGACAGCACTACCATGAGGTGATTGTGGTGGCTACTATTTGGGAGTAGGCAGTTAGTAGGTTGTTGGTGATGATGATGGCGAAGCTGTAAAGTTTCTATGTGAGGTATGTGCGGATGATGGCCATGACGTTAGCAAGTGAGGTTGTCATATATCACGGGGGATGGTTTTGTGTTTGGAGAGCATCTAGCGGAGCGAAGTTTTTTTCTTTCCTTTTGGTGTTCGTCATGCTTCGACAGTTGTTGACACAGGGAGAGGCGGGTGGTTGGACGATGATCGGGATGAGGGGTTGTCGTAGTGGGCAGGTGAGGCAGGCGGTTGTTGGTAATGTCAAGAGGAGGTCTAGGGTTGAAGTCCTGTCTCGGCTGGAGGGCGATGGGAGGACGGAATTGGACGGCATTGAAGGCTCCTCTACTACTCCGTATATAACACTATATTGCCTTTCTCGTTAGAAATGTGGTTTGACTACTTCGCTACATCAAGTGTGTACGAGCCGGATGAGGCCAACTGCTGAGCCACGACCTCTTCTTCATTGGTGGAGGGGGATATACGTCGCTGCGCAGAGTGGCTCCAACTAGGACTGATCGATTCGGCTCAGGCATGTCGTAATATATATTTCTAGTCGTTTCCTGGTTAATCTATTGGTTGGTGTTCCGTCTGGTCCATCGTCGTCTTTTCCCGTCGTAGAGTTATCGTATTCCATCGATCTACAACCTCTTCCTCCTCGTATGTCGTCTACTACTGCCATCCCCTCGACTGCTCTCACTACCTTCCCTCCTACTGCTACTCTAGCTGCCACTACTAATACCGAATATGCTACCGAGAAGAATAATGAACATCATCAACATCAACGGAAGCACCACTTTGAAGGAGGTGGTCAGAGTTCGTCTGTGGATGGTAACCACCTGTCTGTTATCGGATGATAAGAAGCATGCCTCAGAAACCTCATCGATCTCGTCACCAGCATTGCCGGCCACCTCTAGTGGGCACATCCCCGTGCTGTTCCTACTGCCGGTGGACAACGTACGTAGGCTGATCGGCAAACAGGGAAGGATAATAAAACAGGTGGGAGGTGTTCGAATGTGTTGGTGTGGTGGTTGTTGCTAATGTTGGTGTGTAGATACGACAAGCCTGGCCTGGAGCAAGCTTAGTTGTCCATGAGAGCGAGACTCCTACGGCCCTCCACGCTCAGAAGGAGAGGATAGTGGCTGTCAGGCCGACTGTGGCAGAGGATAACAACATCAATGCTGATACAAAACAGAGAAACTTGAATATGTGAGTTGATAGGTTGATAGATTGTATGATATGTATTGCTAGGTTGTTGGCGGGAGTCTGTCGCCGTCTGTGCCTTCCTGACGATGATTTCGACTCCCAACGTGTGGAGAGTGAGGTCTTTCGAGTGGACCCCAAGGTGGCATCTTCCCCCTCACTGACCTTTGATGAGTCTTCCGTCAGGTATCTTCGGACTCCTGCTGCATTTGTCTGCTAATTCCAGGTGATGAGCATTTTCACTATGACTCGAGTTTTGACCGGACTTGTGCATCTCAGGGAGTACTCTGCCCGGTATGATCGGTCACGAGGGCCAGACTGTGAGGAGTCTACAGAGCGATACGGGTTGTATCATTCAGTTCGTCACCGAGCCTGTTATTGGCATTCCCAACTTCAGAAGGTCAGTTGGCGAAGTGGCGAACGGATGGTATGAAATAATTAATATTTTAGATGCCGCATTACAGGATGCTGGCCGAACCTGGCCCGAGCAGTGATAGCGGTCGTTGAGAAATTGCAAGATTTGCAAGATAGAGGAAGGGCGGGGGTGTCCTTCCCGAGTGGATGGGATCCTCTGACCAACCCTGGAAGGATGGAAGATAATGACCTTGCCGCGAACTGTAAGTCGGTCCCGGGGATAGAACCTGGGTCGTTTGTAGTGCAGACGAGCAGCTTGTCCTGTTGATCTATTAGCTCCTGCTTCAAGTCGTGGCATTGGCTTGTCATCCCTGGCCGTTATGGAGCCAACAAGATTCCTAGTTGATCCTCAAGAGGCTGGTTGGATCCTCGGCAAGTCTGGTAAGCCGCGTCTGCGGCCGCTTGTTCGACTCCCCCTCGCTGGGAGCCTCCCACAGGTCGAAAAATTAATCGTCTCCGTGATAAGTACACCCCTGACGTATCCATCAACGTCGATATGGTTACTCCAGAGTGGAGGGTAGTATAATAATCAACTCTAATCGATCACCAGGGCGCGCGCTTATTTCATGCCGGTATCTTCTAGGTGGTATCAGTCGGGTTAGCGGCACCTTTCTCTCGTTCGGCCTCTCTACGGAAAGCCCATGCCCTGCTGGATCTACTTGCCGATCTCGAAAGGTAGGTCTTTGGTTAACATGTTGGTGCCGAGCGGTTCCAGTTGGTCGTATCCTTTCATCTGACTAGGTTTCATGTTAGGTATCCACCGTTGACGGCGATGGGTCGTCAGACTTCTGTCGCCGCTGTGAACGCGCCCGAGCCGAACTTCTTCCTGCGTCATACGGGCGGGTCTAAGATGAAATTACTCATCCCCCCGGAGCTCTTTGGGGCGGTGATGGGCCGAGGTGGAGAGAGGATGCGCAGGCTCACTAGGGCTACAGGAGCTGCCATTCAGAAGTAGCGTTACTGGGATTGGAACCTGTGCAGAGTTTGTACGTATGGCTTGTCAGGATTAGACCATCGGACTCCCCTCTTTCCACTGGAGATACGCTGACGGAGTCGGCCATTCGAAGAACTCTGAGCTCTCATCGTCTGATCGAAATTTCGGGCAATGCTAAGCAGAAGGCTGGTGAGTCGATCGCGATGACTCACGGCTGATTAGTATTGATCGACTTCGATAAAAATGCCCTCGCCAGGAATTGAACCCGCGACCTATTGAAGGTTGATAGACTTGTGTATTTGATCAGATGCTATCCTTAGAGTAGTGCAGATAATGGACCGTAAAGCCTTGGATATCGCTGGTATACCGGATGACGACCGTACTAGTTATTATTACTGTCTCGATAGGGCATCTTTTAGTATCAGGTGATTCATCGTCTGGTAGTAGTCCTTCGGTCGGCTCCCCTCGTTCCCCCTCCATCAACCCTCGTCGTGGTGGTGATGGTGATACTTCGAATGCTGTCACCGAGAGGCTGAGTGAGTGCACAACTACCACGTTGGAGTCCTACGTTTAATTTTGTTGTTAGGTGCTTTCGAGAGGAGTGTACGAGAAGCTCAGTCAATGCCGCAGCTTATCAACACCTATGTCACTATGACGGTAAGGCCGACAGCTTTCCTACCGAGCGACCCGGGTTCGAATCCTGCACACGGTATTTGTGCCTTTTGTTTAGATCGTCCTTCCCTCTCTACCCCAAGCTCAGCTACTCCTGGCCGAAGCTGGTGGGATACTATCGCAAACCGGATGCCGAATAACCGTGGGCGGCTTCGTCCCGGAGTAGGTCGTCTCCTTCCCTCGCTGCTCCTCCTCCTCCTCCTCCTCACACTTTACTCTTCGTCTCAGTATTTCTCTCCACCCCAACGATTCGCCGAATGGGAGGAGCGCCTTTGACCTGCCAACATCATCATCGCCGTTATCATCATCGACACGTGGTGGCGTCCTCGCCTGGTTGACCGGCACGCCTCTCCAGAACACCCACGCCTTCTTCCTTATCCAGCAGTATGTTGCGGCTACTCGGATGCTACATCAAAGGCCGTCGCCACCCTCTTATTACACCCATTAGGAACATCAATGGTATGTCGCCCTCCTCCTCCTACTCGCTGAAGTATCGATGTCGTATGAAGTTAATAGTTGTTTAAGGACTAGTAGTAGAAGCGGCAGTAGCGATAGTGGCAGCAAGCCGCTACAGCCACCACTGCTTCAACAGTCCTGCGTAGAACCTTTTATATTCGTCTTAATAAAACGTCCAAGAATGATGTCGGCGAATTGAAGTATCATCATCATCATAATGATCGTAATTTCGAAGTCTTTATATATCTACTGATGATGATAAGGTTGTAGTCGCAGTAACAGGAACCGTACCATAACTTGACTCGTGTTGTCAATGTATGTTTGTGGGTCTGCGGACGCCCATTTCGTTGCTATAATGGGTGAAGAAGGAGCTGCCGCCTCGTCGCCGTACGCGCTTATCACTGAGGAAGGGGAGAATAGAGAGAGTGCGATCGGCTACACTGGCAAGGTCAGCTCCACGTCAGTGTACCTCCACGACGTTTATTGTTATATGCAGGCGACAGCAAAGTATTCTAACGGTGATGTTTATGAAGGCTATTTCGATGACGGCAAGAAGGCTGGTGATGGTGTTTACACTCATGGAAATGGCGACGTTTACGAGGGGAGGTGAGAGGCTTGGACCAGCTCCTGCTAGGATAAAAGCGCAGTTACAAGGAGGGGAAACGGCATGGTGTGGGGAGGTATACGATGGGGGACGCCGGCGGCGGTTACTACCACGGGTGAGATGCGCCTTGTGGAGGCTTCGGGTGGATCGTCTTGTAGGTCTTTCGCGAAAGGCTTGTATGATGGCAAGGGGACGATGATGTACTCGGCGAGCGGTGATGTTTATAGTGGCGAGTGGAAGGAAGGGCTTCGACATGGTCTTGGCACCTACGTCTACCGGAAAGGACAGGTGGGGTTGGCCTTGGTGGTGGTGATGATGATTGTGATGGTGGGTAAGTAGGCATCGGTGAGTGGAAGGTGGGAAGACGATAGACTCGTTGAAGGGGAGTGGAGGCTATCACCCGATCACAACAGTCCGGTCTATGAAGGGAAATTTGATCCTAAGTGGGTTACCGCAGCATCCACATCTATACGGGTCGACTCTGTAAGGTTCGGTCAGCCCATAGGGGATGGGGTATGGAAGCTGCCCTGTGGACAGGAGATCGCTGGAAGGTGGGGAGGAGGAGGAATGGCTGGTCGTTTGCCGAGAAGCTTCTTGAAGGTACATCCAAAGCCACACGCCATCGGATATCACAGATGAGGTCATCACTACCATACAGTGGGCATCATCGAATGCTGCATGATAGTGTTGTTATTGATTGTCGCGGCCGTACGTTTTTGTTTCATTAGTGGGAGGTCACTACTGGCCGAGGAGGGGCACACCTTTTTAATTTCAAACTTAGCCATCGGCTCAGGCCCAAGTTGGGCCTTTCAAGATCCTCCCGCATTGGGTTGGGCCGCCCAACCCAATGCGGGAGGATCTTGAAACCGTCCACCCCGGTTGAAAGAGCCGCTGCTATTTACGACTTGGTTGAACCTCTTCTCGTGATAGTCACGTACCCATCAGCCAGAACGAATATCTCATATACCCCAGCGTACACTATAAAGGACGAATTTCCAACTCTCTAAAACCATCTCTGGTTTAACTTTTCTGACCCCATTACGACCGATTCGCCGAGAGGCCAATACCCTTTCATGATCGTCGGGGGCTTAATTACAACATGATACTCCGTATGATGAAGTGTTGCTAAATATCATCGCAGACGTACAGAAGAGTTGTTCAAGTTACAAGAGACTTTCCGCCGTTTGTGTATATGAAGTGTCACATCTTGTGTCACCACATTTTCTCATTTTCCTCTCAACCAAACGGTGATCATAAGTAGTACCACCAAATTTACGAGTATTTGTGATGATTAATATTCCTATCGGCATTTCACTACCAACTCGGCTATTAAATATCACCAACTGGAAACATCTCTCACCCGTCATACCCTGTCGGGGATATCAAATACCAAGATGATAATAATCAAAACGCATAGTAGACTCAATTTATAGATCATCCAATGCGGTATTAGACCGATACCTGTCTGGGCAACTGCAGGGTCGAACCCGATGGACGTGCGCCCTGACAACAGAAGAGTTGAGGAAGGGCTTGGGTTGAAGCCACTAACTGTCGGCGGAGTCGGTGGCTGCTGCTTCTTCTTGGTCTTCTCCACCGCTCGAGACTTTCCTCTGCCACCACAAATGCATCGGAAACATTTACGAATATAATGACCAAAGAGGAACCTATCCAACAGTATCACGAATACAACAGAGAACCATCATCCTACCAGATGGCGCCGATAGTTTTGAAGCCGTTGAAGGCAACAACTATGCCGAGGACCACCAGAAGGAATGTATCAGCAGACACCCTCTGGGCACCTCCATCGAGGGTTGTGCCAGCCACAGCCTGAGCAATAGAAATGACGATGGAGTAATGGCAGTAATCAACCTACGAAAACTAATGCCAGATTGCAGAGAGCCCAGAAGAGGACCAGGTAGGTTCTGAACTCGTTACGTTGGGCTTGGACGTCCTTCTGGGAACCATCACTGCTGTCGAGGCCCTTGGTGCCTACCAAGGAGGATCCACAGAATAGTAACATTGTAGAAGATGGCTCACCCCAGGAGAGGTCATGTGTGTTACAAAAGGCAAAGACTTGGAATATGTTAATATAAGTTGGAGCCATGAAAGTATACTGGAAATATGTGAGCAAAATATGGTGACCCTAACAAAGGCGATACCATAGTAGACTTATGGAAGGGGACTCCGATTCCTCACCTCGCAGTGTAGGAAGGCAACGAGGACGTAGCTGGCCACAGCTGCGATACCGATGGATGATAAAACTATGTCGTCCGAATCAACAACATTGTAGACCGCAAGAGCAAATGTAGCCATCATGAAAATACCAAAAATTAGCGAAATTAATACGTATCTGGGAGATCGATCAACAGAGTAGTAGTGAATTACAACCCTACAGAACTCTGAGGGAGCGACGAGGAGCATCGGGAGCTGTCCCCATGGCCAGGAGGAATATGCAGAACATGAGTAGGAGGTATCTATCCACGAGATAGACGAGTTAGAGCTGAGGAGATTACATAAACTTAATGACAACGAACACGATATCAGCGCCCTCGAAACGATGATCACCATCGTTGACGAGGAAGTCGTCCCAGAGTATTAGGAAGGTGAGGTAGAAGACCCCCACCAGGAACCACGTCATAACGGTGTTGAAAATGTAGTATCTGAAAAGAAGAGGGTGGATGAACGACTTTACCAGCGAGCGGCTACATTAGTTCAATCATCAATGCGAATTTACGCAGAATGTTGTGACGGGTGGTGAAAATCCTAAACTGGAATAGCCCTTGCCACAGAGAGAAAAGCTGCGCAAAGAAGGAGCCGTTGAGCCACCTTCGGCGTTGCTTAATCAATGCAGCACACGTATCGGGCACCTGAAAAAATTGGAATCTCCTCCTCCTCGAAGTCCCTCATCTACGTCCGTAACAGCAACAGAGCTTTTCACATATCGCAACACGTTAGCGGCAGTTCTACTGCAGACGAGCTCGAGGGCGAGAATGCGGTCTTCGGCCAGGTACCTTCACGTGATGGAATCGATTTTCAGCAGGGGAGTTAACGTACATATTTCCTAGGAAGGGGTTGACGACACCTCCATGGGTGACGCTCTTGAAATAGGGTACGATGGGACGTTTTGCAGAAGTCGGACCGAGCTCGGGAGGGGAGAGGGCTGACCACCGATACGCTGAGAAGGCACCGGGTAAAACCTGATGGAAAAACCGTAAAATGAGCGCAAAATCAATGACGACTTACACTGATGAACCCAAACGAAGACTCACAAGCCTTGTCGAAGCAGTTGCCGACTTTATACTCGAAGTTTTGCGAGGCTACATACCTAATTGAAGTTAGGAAGGCGAGGGAAAGGATGATTATAAACCACCAGTTGTAGAGAATGTTGACCGGATGCAGATTCCTATCAACAGTTATTTCACCACAACAACCAGCGACATCATCGCTGGCGTCCATAGCATCGATTAATTTGAGAATAGCATTGGGATAGGGCCGAGTACCTGAAAGAACGGTCACGTTTCGGACCTATTTTGAATCTTTCGAGGTTGAACCTAAGATACTCACCAGCATCGAGACAGACACAATAGAGTTCTTCATGTTGTGTATCTTTAACCCTTTCATTCATCGTCCTGTAGAAGTGATGAGCAAAGCCTTCGAAGAACCACAGATGCGTATCAAGTTTGCCAGCATTGAATTCTTTCAATGCAAACATCATCTGCAGAGGTGGATAGTTCTCATAGTGAATGACGTTCTCAAACAAGTGCACGTAAACAGCCTGGCCGTTGTCAACTGTGAACCGAGGATGGTCACGGGAGGCGTTCTTGTCGGGAATTCGATCGAAATTGTATCGATCGATCGGCTGTATTCGACCACAGATGTCCATCAGGCCCTCCTCACGATACATCTCTTCCAAGTCTAGGTACATACCCATACGCTGTAGAGCTTGCAAGTTGTTGTAAGCGCCGTTGATTCTGGTCCGACCGTCAGCGAGGAGGCATACGCATATCTCCTCCCACTTGTATTGTGTCTCAGCGACGAACTTGCGGAGATTCTCGAGGACACCAACCAACGTTCCAGGGACACCACCAGTCTCCATGGCTTGCTCTTTGAAGGCCTCAGGACGATCGTTGTCGGGGTTCTGTTGGATGAAAGTCAGACCAGGTCGGCGAACATCATCGAGGCCACCACAGGGCTCTTGGTACATCGTAATCCCTGAAAGCAAACCCGTCCGAGGGGAAGAGGGGGAATAACTCACCGATAAAAACTTTAATTTTAGCATTGGGATCTTCGATGAATTTCAACTTGAAAGGCGCCGGTGGGGGCATTCCTTCGAAATATTCAGTGTAGAAGCCAGAGTCGAACATTTGATCAATGAACCTCGGAAAGGTCAGACCGCGTTCCTGAGAAAAGGCGCGATGAGGCGAGGTCATTGGAGTTGACCATTTACTGCATAGTTGATGTTCTTGTGGTAAACCAGCTCCTCTTGGGAGACCGTAATAGGGGTGTAACGAAGTTGGTTGTCATCGCGGTTCAAGTCGAAGCCTTGGATTTGCTGAGAAACGGATAATACCATAATGGCACGAATTGGGCCTGTTTTGAATCTTCTTACCAGTCGCCCAAGATACAACGGGTCTATGTTGATGTAGGAAGAGTAGCCACCATGCGAAGGGTGAATATGAGGATGAGAGCGACTGGCCATTATAGGAAACTTGACGTAATAACATTATAAAGTGATGGTGACAATACACTCGTTGATTACTGTAAACTTCTACCCGCACTCGTATAGAAGCTACTATAATCAGTAGAGGACCTCCCAGGCTCTGTTGAGCTCAAAGACTAACCTACTACTTATTCTGGCACCAGAAACACTACTACATACGTCGAGTTGAAGCACTGTTCCGACTTGCGCTGATCGGTCTCAAATTTGACCTAATTGCACGAAAATTTGTCGTGCAATTTACTCGGGAGATGCGAAGTTTTCATCATCGCCGTCGTTTATGTCCACTGCAATGGGGCCTCTGCGGCTCAAGCTGACCTTCTCGAGTAGTTCCTTCGATGCGGGGGGATATCAATCAATGATGATGGCGGTAATATCTTTAGGTTGACCGTGGAAGATTCAAAATAGGCCCGATGAGTCGGGCATAAATCCTCAAAAATTTTCATTTTTCTATCGCGGTAAACGTCGTGTCCGCATCACTGTTTTATGATGAGGTATTTTTTTATTTTATGAATATCTCGATGAGAATAAAAACTATAAATATACTCGTTTTTATGCGGGGAAATATTCATCTTTCCTCGCGTTGGGGTCCTCCCCAGGTAGTTACTTGCGTTTCAGGTGCCCCCGATGGTTCGCACCGTATCGGATCTACTACACCATCTACAGACGAGGCCATACCTCTTCAGTTTGAAGGAGCAATGCCACCAATGGTCAGTCTCTATCGATGGCTTTCGCCTTCCTAACGAGAGCGTCGTCCGTGAGGTACTACTCAGTCGAATGAGATTAGTAACTTTTTCTTGTTGATGATAATTTCGAACCGGACCAGTCAGGGCAGACTCCATGAATTTTTTAATTGCTTTTCAAGATCGTCATGCAATGGACTTTCACAACCCGTTTTACGTGAAGCGGCGTAAAACTCGATGAAAACGCGATATTCACACGATGCAGTAGTCGTGCTTTTTTTCATATCACTAGGGTGAAACTCCAGTACATTTCCTATTGATCGCATACAGCATTCACGATGCATTTTCATGCACATATACGGACATTGTGCCCTCAGCCGCTCTATTTGGCACTTTTATGCCGTTTCGAAATATTATATTCAATGTCTTTCATTTCTTTATATTTTTTCTATCACCATCGGCGTTGTCAAGGAGTGTCGTGAGTTCTCTATGGTTTAGGTTTTACGAGATGACGAGTTGATCACCATCGAAGGGGTTCCCTCTGAGGATACCTGCTCGGTGGTCTACGCCCTTCCATCGTCCTTGGCAAGAGGCGAGTCTGCTGAACGGCGCATCCGCCTTGACGATACCTCGAGCAGTAGTACACCTAAGAAGAGAACTCTAAGGGAGATAAGGAAGGGGACTCCTAAGCCTAGGGGTAGGGCAACTAGTAGTAGCAGTAGCAGTGACGAGGAAGAGGAGGAGGAAAGTGGAGAGGACTCGAGTCACGACGATGAGGGTGAGGAAGAGGTAGTTGCGGTATCACCACCGATGGAGGTGGAGGATGAGTCTTCGTCATCGTCATCATCATCGAGTTCGGATAGCGACACGTCGTCGTCCTCCTCGGATGATGAGAGCTCAGTTGAGTTGCCTCCCACACCGGAGCCGAAACGTAGGAAGGTGGAGTCGGCACAACCCCCAAAGGAGCAACAGGAGACTATTGGCAACAACAAGGTTAGATTCGTGGCCGCTAGGAAGGCACTTGTGGAGGACAAGGAGGAGGGTGTTTGGAGGTAATTGGAAGAGGAGGAGGAGGGGAGGCTGATGCTCACCCTCTGGGGTTACCGCAGGTTCGACGATTGGCATGTGAAAGTGGGAGAATTGAAAGCTGGTCAGTTCGTCAAGTTCCGCAGTTTGCAGGCGGACCCAGTGACGAGGAATAGCAAGTTGACGGATGAGGAGGTGCTGGGGATTGAACCCGGGTCGTCACTATGAAGGGCTGACAGTATTCCTATTCAGGTGTGGAAGGTGTTAGCGATGGATGAGGGAAAAGCAGTCCTCGTGGACAGCAAGGGGCGACATGATGTGAGACGGCATCTAGTTTTGGCTGGAACGTGTTTGAGGAATCTTCGCTGTGCGTGATATCTTTTGGAAGGTCATCCCAGAGAAAGATATGTTCGGGCTCCTCGTTCACGAGCCGGTATCCGAAAACACTGGCGAAGGCGACGAGCAGAAGGGGCAGGAGAATGGTAGGTTGCGGGGATCGAACCGGGGTGGATCGCGTGGTAGTCAGGTCAGCACGTCGCTTCACCGGCTGGCAAAAAGGGCCCTAGAATTTCGTCGTTGGCTTATGTTCCGCCGACGGTTTCTGACAAGTCGGCTTTGAAGAGGCAGAAGAAGAAGTTCGGGGCGATCAGACGACAAGTCGAATGGTGGCTAAACAAACCCAATTGGGATAAGGACGAGCACTTAAGGAGTTTGGTAAGCGTGCGCATGCGTGCAGGTTAATTGTGTCGAGCTGTCCCTCTAGGCCTATCCTGGAACGCACTGGATACCGGTGCAAGAGCTGATGAAATTCGAGAGGCTTCGCGACCTCTCGGATGACCAGGCGGAGGTTGTTCATGTGCTGCGGACGGAGCGATGCGGGAAGCAAGGTGACGAAGGAGTGGTATGGACAGCAGGTAAATTATCGTCATCTCGGCAGATCCTAGATTGGAGGTGTCTCCTGATGGTTACTACGTCCGACATAAATGCTGGACGGAGGCGGACACTGCTGGCGGACCGAAGAAAGCCGCGTGATATGTGTGATTTTCAGTGTGGTTTTTTATTGTGTTAAAAGCGTCGGGTGTGGGTATCGAACCCGCGCGGTTCAGAATTGTCTAATTCAATGTCAACGTCATCTTCCTCCACGCCATTTGGGAGGATATACTGTCACACTTGCGGCCATGTGACCGCCTCGACACCTTCTGACCCTTGGAGATGCTCATCTTGCCGCGGCTGTTTTGTAGAGAAGTGGGACGGACAGGAGGATACCCCCTGGACGGCCGAGGCTGACCGTGACGAGCTTGTTATTAACGAATCAGTAAGAGAGAAATTTTTGCGTCGCTCCGCTAAGTGTTGTTCCTTTCAGGTCAGCGAGTCCGCGGGTGCAGTGAGCGGTTCACCTACGCCGCCCGACTACCCTCCACCACCTCCCATGACCATCGCGGTTGATATCGTCGAGACGCCGCGAATGGAGCCAGCGGATGAGGCTTGGAATGTAAGGCTGGTTGAGGAAATGCAAGATTGCAAGATTATGATGGTCTTTCAGGCCGTCCGAAGAAGTCGTGCAGCATCTTGGTGGATTCCTCCATCGAGAGAGCATCAAGCTATGGGAAGGGAATCTTTTGAGTGAGTGCAGGTAGGGTGGTGCGCACTTCGAAGATTCTCCTTCTACTTCAGCAATACGCGGCCCTTCGGTCATGGACAGGGTATGATCATAGGGATGGATGCTATGCCGCTCTTAGTGGGCTCTAACGGCTCAGCTACGGGTCAACAGGGCAATGGTGTCTCGCCGTTCGAGAGGGCACTGCTACAGCAGGTGTTAATGGCGACCTTCAACCATCCAGGACTGCGTACGATGGCAATTTCGTGGCGCGCGGTAATTTGACTGGCAGGTTCTCATGCTACGTCGCCATCAGTTCTATCACGCTTCAGAGACGTCACGGCCACTCGAGAAGATGAGCAAGACGAATGTGCTATATGTCAGGTGGGTTTTCGTGTCGTCCACTGAGCGCGCGCCCTGATGATCGATATTGTCTTGTTAGTGTCGTTATGTAAGCGGTGATGTATTGAATCGAATACGCGATGCCATCCCTCGAGACGTCCCCTGTAGTTGCCCTCATGCCTTTCATAAGCAATGCATTCGACCATGGCTCGAGCAGGTGAGGAGGATAGCAGCAGTATGGAAGTCGCTACTATGTGGTATTTTTCAGCACAACTCATGCCCAGTGTGTCGCTTCGAGCTGCCCTCCTCTCCCTCCTCGTGAAATCGTTGTTTTATGCGTGTAAACAGCAGTAGCAGCAGTATAGATGAATCAATACCGTCACGCGCCACGAAATTGCTTATGTGTTGGATCATCATCCTATTGCTACAGTATCGGTCGAAGAAACTTTTCTACTATACAGCACCCATCGTTCGAGGCGATCGTATTGATCGCTTCCAGCAAGCAGCACTTTTCTATCCATAATACACCAACTTATCTGTAGTATTTTACTGTAACACCTGAAGCAAATCCAAGAGGAAGCCTATTCTGTCACTCGCCACGAAATTACTCTTCGTGGATTGTCTATAGAAGGCGATGCCTGGACTGGTGAGATTATTGGTGTTTAGTAGTTAGTCAATTGGCATGGGAGGGGAGGTGGGATTCGGGAAAAGTGTGGTATGATTATATTCTTTACACAGGAGAGAAGCTGAACAGTTGCTGGCTTAGATCGTGTTACTCTCGTGGCGCCCTTAGGTTGACATTCAATCATCATTGAGATGATTTCTCGGTGTTTCATCGGGAATATTCACGCCGTCACGTAAGTGCGTCAAATTCAGCAAAGCCGTTAATCTGTTAGTCCACTGTGCTGGGCGATGAGGGTTGTCCTATCTTTCCCGCTCTACTCGGTGACATTCGCCATTCAATTCGTAGACGACGTTCTCGATAGGGACATTTGATATCGGTTTTGGTTCCCTGTGGTACCCAGAGGTCAGGCCACCATCAGAGTGAGTGTCCTTCTTATAGAGTCCTCACGGTCATCAACTCCGGCCGGCTCATACTGGAAAGCAGGGCAGTGGCAGCATACGTGTTCGTGGGGGAAGAGTTGGTTGTCTTCTGCGTATTCATCTTGTCGCCATCAAGGCCACCACTAAGTTCGAATCTATGTCCACCGAAAGAGGCTGTCGAGGAGAATATCTTCCCATTCCAAGACTGTTGATGTTCTGCACTTACCAAAAGTTATCAAATGTTATTTATTTCATCGTTCTACTCATAGATTTGAGTGTCTAGTGGGGACAGCAGTGACGAATTTGCAATATCATCGGCGTAGATGATCCCTTCATAAGACTGCCGCTTGAGTGCTGTGAATGAATGCTCGGGAAATTTCCATCGCAGTGTAATTCGCTGACCAGACGATTATAAGATATCAAGCGAAGTACCTTCAAAGCGCACTAGAGATATCACTGAGAAACCTAGGAGCCTATATTTGAATATCGGGAGCTTCTGGAAGGACTTACTGGAAGTCATAGCAGAAAACGCAATACCACGCAGTAGGATAAATGATGAGCAATAATCTTCAACGGTGAAGTTCACAGAGCAATCCAAACGTCTTCTCGCTCCTGCGTTCGATGATTCTGCCAGCAGTGGAAAGCATGCCAGCTTTTGTCCTCGCAGCCGCTGGTATCACCATTGGGGCCCTTATAATGGCATACCTCGAGAAGAGCACTCGATAACACAACACGCTAACTTCTCACCCAATTTGCCGGGCATTGACGGCACTCCTCTGGCAAGGGCTCCTCTATTGCTGTGGGATGGCAGTTCGTTGTGGTGTTTGGGAGATCCTCCATGTCTCGAGAGGAAGAACAACAGGTAGCTTTCGAAGCAGAGTCCGTCATGAAAATTGTAACAGAAGAAAATAATAAGATTGCCGTACGTCTAACTCGACATAGGAAGTTGAAACAACAGCTAAAGTGGTGAATTACTGGAGGCTCGATAAAGGCTATTGCGTCGATCGTTCATATCACCAAGTGAAGATCCTTCCGAACTTTCCTCCCACACAGTGAGCGAACGCTCCAGATTGAGCCACTCGCGAGTTCCAGGACCTTTCACAGTATCGTTTTCATCGACCTCAGGCGCTAGGAAGTGCTTAACCTGGTGTAACTGGCTAAGAGTCTTCCCGACTGCGCGGGTTCTCCTGTAGTAGTGAATACCCACGGCACCAATGATAGCCTCGAATACGTCAGCATAGCGCTTATTCCGAACAGCTTGAGCGTTCCTTGGCGCGACCAGTGCCAAGGGCTCGAAAAGGGTAGCATTGGTGAGGAAGGGATGACGATCGCACAGCTCCACGAATGCCTCCGCTTGATACTCATTCGACCAATACAATCGGTCGGTAACGAGAACTCTCCAGAAGGCATCACCGAGCCAAGCCAGCCGAGTATTGATACCATCATATGCTGTGAGAGCTTCAGCCATCATTCGATCAGCGCCAGGAGCACCGCATGCGTCACAAACATGACCAATCGCTAGTCCTCGTGCAAGGTGTACTAAACCCCATGGTACAGCGTGCTGGAGCTCATGCTTCATCTGAGGGCCCTCCTCCTCGAGTGGATGAAGTTGAACATATTGTGGTAACAAATAGACAGCAGACTTGGGCGCTGGAGTCTTGCACTTGCCGGGTCTTAAAGGTGCGGGCCGGGCTGAGGCGATAAGGACCCTCTGGGAGGGATCCGCTCGTAGATGATACTTCTGCTGATACAATCGAGTCAACGGGATGACATCATCGTGTGATCCGGCGCTCCACGCACCTTCCTGGACGAGAAGTGTACTCGCGGTGACATCGGGGGCGAGGGAGAAAACACAGTAGGGACGAGGGAATGAGGAGTGACGCGCCAAGACCAACAATGGATAGCACGAGGAGTCCATCAGAGTTGATGTTGGTCTAAGGAAGAAGCATTCGGCTTACCACGACGGCCTTCTGAAGAGCTTACATTACAGGCCATTCTGTACTCAGGATAGCCTCCTTTGCCGAGGTCATGGCGAGCCAGTCAACTCTGCCATTCGTATCTATCATAATCAGACGATAAGGGAGATTGCTGTGACGCTCGCCACTCGGGCCGTAGAGCAGTTGAAGGAAATGCGAATGCGTAAACCTGAGAGAATCTTAACTATCGAAGATTCGATCCGACGAGTACTCCATCGTCTCTCGCTGTTCATCGTCCAGGGTGACGCCTTCCTCAGCCTCTACCCCAAAAGGAATCGTCTCGGCCAACAACACAGCCCACCTTATGATTGCAGTTACGAAAAGCGGACTCCACGCACGAGACTAACCTGTGCAGGAGGCCGCCGTCAGAGCCGTGCAGACGGCAGATCCACCTCCAACTGCTGGTGGAGGTACTCGAGCTTGTCCAGGTTGGAGGGGACGGAGATCGGCCCATGAGCTGGCAAGCTCCAGTAAAAACGATGCTGAATCAGTGTCGCTCATAGAGGGGTTATGCTTCACACATCTATAGCAATGAATCTGGCTGAAGCCCGGTGCAAAATTCTCTATAAGAAACAGCGAGCAACAAGTTGCCTTGTGGAACTAAAAAAGATTAGATCCCTTTTTACGGGAACCCCTAGTATGAGACCTGGAGTACGTAGCGGCTTAGGAGAGCCGGTCGGCTTCTCCCAGATGCCCATACTACGCAATATCCATCGAGTGTATACCTATTGATGATCGAGTGAGGCCTAGATCTGCCGAGCTGGTAGTGGCAGCTTACACGACTCCGAAAGGGTAGAACTACAAGAGGCTCATCTCACTACGGGCGGATAGATATTGAACCTGTTGATGGTCCACTAGCAACAACAACAACCCTGATAGTGGGTAAAAATGGACCTAGAACGAGCATCTGCTTGGCCAACACTGAGATAGGCCCTGTTTCATAGGAAGCATGTTCTTGCTGGTCACCGAGTCTTTACCGGGTGAACGTGAGCTTCTATAAACAGTGATCTACACCTTTCAAACGCATAGTGACCAGCGGTAACCGACCGCATACCTACGAAGCATCTCACTTTTTTACTATGGCCACCCGAATACTTCTTAAAAGTAACTTCTATAAAATAAATCAGTACGAATACCACTCGGAATTCACAAGTGTGCAATATCAGAGTCTACGCAGATTCACTTCAAGTGTAGGTGACACCGTGTCGTGCAACAGTACGGTGTCTTATCTAAAAAGCGTCGATACCTATAATAAGAACTAAATTAGTTCAGCTAATAACACAAGAACACCGAGTGAATGCGCTGAAAATGACATCCGTGGGATTCGAACCTGCATCTGCCACTGCCAGAGCAAAACCCCGGATTCAGGATTATGGCCGGGACTATTCAGAGGCCCTGAATAGTCCCATCAGGAAGAGTGTCAGGACTATAACGCAGCACACTCATCGTGAAACAGTGATTTGATCATAACCATCATACTATGATACATGTAGCAGTAATATTACAACCGATAGCATTCCACAACACCATGTGGGAACACAAATCATACATGGCACCCATCTCCTCCACGACTTGCAAGAAATTTATCATATATTGTTCACACCCTCCCGAGCTTGGGGAAACCATCACGCCACAAACGGTAGACCACCGTGGCTGCATAGTCACACCGAAGCCGTGACTGTAACACAACATAATTTTTATCAAACCGAATGAGAACGTGCTGACATCTTATTACAGGTTAAGGATAACCCTGAGCGCGCCTACTTGGGAAATATTCCTGCTCGAAAGTAGGCGCGCGCTAGAGATCCCCGCGACCGCTGCCAGTCCTGCGACCGAAACCACTCTACTATGGCTTTCTTAGCTCAGATTCGTTCTGCAATGAAAGACCTAGATCGTATAATACAATTTGTATTGAATGCTTTGCATCATTAACCTTTTCTTCGTTCTCAGTTATACGAGCATCGCAATGACCATTGCTTCCATCGTTTTCATCTACGTTGTGGCCATCGTGGCCACCACCAGAGGGGGAACTACCCCCCTCCCCACCCTTACCTCCAGCAAGCCCACCACCTTCGCTGTTGACGCCCAGGTCGGAGCTGCCGCTGAAGGGCCTCGACCCCTGCTCCTCACCACCACCACTACCACGACCCCCTCCTCTGCAACCACCACCACCAGTAACGGCTCGCTGTGGTGGTCCATCATGGTGAAGATGATCGAGGAGCAGTTGGCGGAGGAGGATGCCGCTGGAGGGCCTCGGCCCCTGCCCCTCACCACCACCACTACTACCGCCACCCCCTCCTCCTCCACAACCACTACCACCAGTAACGGCTCGTTGTGGTGGTCCATCATGGTGAAGATGATCGAGGAGCAGCTGGCGGAGGAGGATGCCGCTGGAGGGCCTCGACCTCTGCTCCTCACCACTACCACCACCACCCCCTCCTCCTCCTCTACAACTACCACCACCAATAACGGCTCGTGGTGGTCCATCATGAAGAAGGTAATCGAGGAGCAGTTGGCAGAGGAGGATGCCATTACCACCTCCTCCCCCTCCACTACTACTACTACTACTACTACTACTACCACCACCACCTCCACGACCTCCACGACCTCCACGACCACCACTGTGCCCAGAGCTCCCGAGACTGGGAGCCAACTCCGAGGTGGGACAGGAAGGTAGGATTGTAGATCGAGTGACTCTCAGCAAGAAGTATTCTTTCAGGGCATCATGGAGCAGCGTCCCACGTCCAAGCTTGGTGATGCTGGTATTGGTTATAATGAAGATTTTTTTGTAATATTTTATATATTATATGCATGATGTTGTTTATAATTTTTCAATCTCAATGTTTTGTGTTTTGAAGTTGTCCAAGCAATCGTAGACTGAACTTCTACAAGTATATCATTCAGACTGCGAGAGACGAGGAATTTGTCACAAACTTCGCAATCTCCGACGGCACTCGACGGTCGAGTCTCGAGAAAACATCAACTCTTCAACGGAAGAAGACTAAGAGCAATCGAGGGAAGAGAACTCATGCCCATAAAACTCATAGCGTATCCTTCGCGAAGACCCCGATTGACCCGATACCTTCCCCACTACCATATCGTTCCGTATTCTCACTGTGAGAATCTCACACTAGCTAGTAGATACTAGTAGACGATCATCCTCAACATCATTAATGGGGGAGCTCATAGCGGGAGTGAGAGAACAACACTGAACAGAAACGTTCAACAACGACGTATTGACCAAGTCAGCCAATCAGCATTGAAGGTGAATGGGCTATGTGACAGCGACATCATGCGTACGCAATTGAAGAGCTTAGTGGACGGCAGGTACTCAGAGGCTACGCCTGGCAACAATCACGATAACCTCACGAAACTTCCATACATGAACAACTCATCAAGATGTGCAAAGTCACTGCAGTAGTAGTGGAGTAATAACTGCGCACGGACACAACAACGGTCAGGCCTGTTATGGCATTGAGCCGAAGCTCAGCCCCGATAATTTAGGGGGTATACAGATGGAGTAATAACGTAGATACTTAATAACCAACAGGGGATCAGAAAGGAGAATATTGACCACGGTGCAACTGCTACTACTACCACAGGAGCAACAAAGTATGAAGATAACGTACACTAAAGACAGGTCCCATGAAAGCATGCACACCCCTGGATTCCAGGGCCTGGAAGATGGGCGAAATGAGATATACACTCATGGGCAATTCCTTCGAAAACACTGCAATAACCGCTCTACCGGGAGGCTCACAAAGGATCATCAGAAAGAGGTGGGAAATTTGGGTCGAAACCAGATTCAACCAGGAAGCCTGGCAGGGAAACTGTGAGGCTCCAATAGGGGGTTGCTTGCAGTAACCAAATGAAAAACACCGGTATAGTAGATCGGGCGAACTCTTCTCAATGGCAGATCTCTCGGAGGGCCTCGAAGAAGCCCAGCTGCTTCGACTCTGCTGACGTCTGCTCTCTCTTCCTCAGCTCGGATGGTGAAGTCTTCCAGAGAGGGAAGAGCATCATAGTCACATTCATTCCCCTCTGCCATATGAAGGAGTACTTTATGAGCTTCAGAGACCTTCCTCCGTCGAATAGCGGAGCGAACTCCACGTGAAGGAAATAATCCAAGGATGAGAATCCACCAAGTACGATAGCAACGATGCACCGGAACATGACCACGGACCAGAAACTCCAGGAGAATATCGAGGCAATGCCGGCCAGGGCTAAGATGAGGACTGTCATGACGAAAGGTCAATACGATCGCTGAGATACCCGAAGAGTGTAGAGGAGACTCTCCTCAGGAGAGCATCAATGGAGTTGACGTTGGTCTACGGAAGGGGCATTCGGCTTACCAGGACGACCCTCTGAAGAGCTTACATTACAGGCCATCTTAGTTCGAGTGAGTTGGTACTCTCCCATAATCTCGGCTTGAATGAACACCACGACGAGTATCTCAGCAGTGCTGAGATAACTGAGATGTGCTGAGTCAGCACATACCGCAAAGTAACCGACGGAGCAAAGGAGCAGAAGCCAGTATTGGAACTTGCCGTACTCTATGTTATCGTCTTTCGATGTAGGTAGCCACATAGAATATTGACGTACTTCGGGAGGCTGCCGCCATAGATGAGAAGAGGAACACAGGCAAAAGCTATGGAGGGATTAACACAGACGATCCTCTTGACATTAGGTGAAAATGGACCTAGAGCGAGCATCTGCTTGGCCAACACTGAGATAGGCCCTGTTTCATAGGAAGCATGTTCTTGCTGGTCACCGAGTCTTTACCGGGTGAACGTGAGCTTCTATACACAGTGATCTACACCTTTTAAACGCATAGTGACCGCCGGTAACCGACCGCATACCTACGAAGCATCTCACTCTTTTACTATGGCCACACGAATACTTCTTATAAGTAACTTCTATAAAATAGATCAGTACGAATACCACTCGGAATTCACAAGTGTGCAATATCAGAGTCTACGCAGATTCACTTTAAGTGTAGGTGACACCGTGTCGTGCAACAGTACGGTGTCTTATCTAAAAAGCGTCGATACCTATAATACGAATTAAATTAGTTCAACTAATAACACAAGAACACCGAGTGAATGCGCTGAAAATGACATCCGTGGGATTCGAACCTGCATCTGCCACTGCCAGAGCAAAACCCCGGATTCAGGATTATGGCCGGGACTATTCAGAGGCCCTGAATAGTCTCATCAGGAAGAGTGTCAGGACTATAACGCAGCACACTCATCGTGAAACAGTGATTTGATCATAACCATCATACTATGATACATGTAGCAGTAATATTACAACCGATAGCATTCCACAACACCATGTGGGAACACAAATCATACATGGCACCCATCTCCTCCACGACTTGCAAGAAATTTATCATATATTGTTCACACCCTCCCGAGCTTGGGGAAACCATCACGCCACAAACGGTAGACCACCGTGGCTGCATAGTCACACCGAAGCCGTGACTGTAACAGAACATAATTTTTATCAAACCGAATGAGAACGTGCTGACATCTTATTACAGGTTAAGGATAACCCTGAGCGCGCCTACTTGGGAAATATTCCTGCTCGAAAGTAGGCGCGCGCTAGAGATCCCCGCGACCGCTGCCAGTCCTGCGACCGAAACCACTCTACTATGACACTCTTACCTCAGATTAATGCTGCAATGCAAGACCTAGATCGTACGATACAATTTGTATCGAATGCTTTGCATCATTAACCTTTTCTTCGTTCTCAGTTATACGAGCATCGCAATGACCATTGCTTCCATCGTTTTCATCTACGTCGTGGCCATCGTGGCCACCACCGGAGGAGGAACTACCCCCCTCCCCACCCTCACCTCCACCAAGCCCACCACCTTCGCTGTTGACGCCCAGCTCGGAGCTGCCGCTGAAGGGCCTCAACCCCTGCTCCTCACCACTACTACTACCACCACCCCCTCCTCCTCCACAACCACCACCACCAGTAACGGCTCGTTGTGGTGGTCCATCATGGTGAAGATGATCGAGGAGCAGTTGGCGGAGGAGGATGCCGCTGGAGGGCCTCGACCCCTGCCCCTCACCACCACCACTACTACCGCCACCCCCTCCTCCTCCACAACCACCACCACCAGTAACGGCTCGTTGTGGTGGTCCATCATGGTGAAGATGATCGAGGAGCAGTTGGCGGAGGAGGATGCCGCTGGAGGGCCTCGACCCCTGCCCCTCACCACCACCACTACTACCGCCACCCCCTCCTCCTCTACAACTACCACCACCAATAACGGCTCGCTGTGGTGGTCCATCATGAAGAAGGTAATCGAGGAGCAGTTGGCAGAGGAGGATGCCATTATCACCTCCTCCTCCCCCTCCACTACTACTACTACCACCACCACCACCTCCACCACCTCCACGACCACCACGACCACCACTGTGCCCAGAGCTCCCGAGACTGGGAGCCAACTCCGAGGTGGGACAGGAAGGTAGGATTGTAGATCGAGCGACTCTCAGCAACAAGTATTCTTTCAGGGCATCATGGAGCAGCGTCCCACGTCCAAGCTTGGTGATGCTGGTGATGGTTATAATGAAGATCTTTCTGTAACATTTTATATATTATATGCATGATGTTGTTTATAATTTTTCAATCTCAATGTTTTGTGTTTCATAGTTGTCCAAGCAAACGTAGAGACTGCGAGAGACAAACAATTCGTCACAAACTTCGCAATCTCCGACGGCACTCGACGGTCGAGTCTCGAGAAAACATTCAATTCTTCAACGAAAGAAGACTAAGAGTAATCGAAGGGAAGAGAACTCATGCCCATAAAACTCATAGCGTACCCTTCGCGAAGACCCCGATTGACCCGATACCTTCCCCACTACCATATCGTTTCATATCCTCACACTAGCTAGTAGATACTAGTAGACGATCATCCTCAACATCATTAATGGGGGAGCTCATAGCAGGAGTGAGAGAACACCACTGAACAGGAAAGCTCAACAATGACGTATTGACCAAGACAGCCAATCAGCGTTGAAGGTGAATGGGCTATGTGGCAGCGACACCATGCGTACGCAATTGAAGAGCTTAGTGGACGGCAGGTACTCAGAGGCTACGACTGGCAACAATCACAATGACAATAATCTCATAGCACTTCCATACATGAACAACCCATGGTCTGCAGTAGTGGCCTAACAACTGCGCATGAACGCCAAGAAGTGAGAGACACTCAAGATGGCACCCCTGAGATTAGAACCCGGTTCGGGTTTCATCTTGAACTGAGATTGAGACTTGCCAGTTGCGAGACCCAAAAGCCCAAGATTTGAGAGTCTCTAGCAGCCTAGAAGAAGAGCATTCAACACAATCTAAAGTTTAGATTCTAAACTACTACGCAACACACATCGTCAAGTTGAGTGGTCACCAAATATCATGAATATACTAGCATCCGTGTAGTGTCCCAAGGAAGTCCCTAATAGGGACTCCCTACGATATCAGAAAGTGTCGAGTCTTCAACACCACCAGGGCGTTTCCTTGCGTCGTACGAATGTAATCCTTCACACTGCTGTATTTAAATACTGCTACGTGTATCACATGAAGATAGACCACAGGATTTGTCTATCCATCATAGGGTGAAGGTCATAGACTATGAGTCAGTGAAGGGTACGATATCTTGCCATCTCACAATGCCTAGACTTTCCTCAACCATCCAACCGCATCATTTGACCATGAATTCAGGTTAGGCCATTTATCGTTGTCTCTATGGCCTTTCACTGTCCCATTTCCCCCTCGGCTTCAACCCCATCATCACCATCCTCGGAGCCTAATCAACAATTCGCCCCTCGACGGCCGTTCAATCCCAGCTGCCCTGTACGCGAGAACACCTACCACCTCTACGGTGTATCCCTAGTCCATGAGCCTGAGCTCATCAAGGCCTATGGCGGCGATCGGGTCCAGATAGAATGGGTCGATGATGCCTCCTGTAACCTCGTGTATGTTGATGATGAAGCGGCAAAGGCATGTCTACTACCGCAATTAATAGGGTCGGAGCTTCCCCCTTTGGATGGCTCGTGGGTGCCCTGTCGAGCCTTGGGCAAGGTTGGAGTGGGCTTGGGTGGAGATAGGTCCTTCATGCAGGCTACAGAGCTCCAGGTGAGGGTGGCTACTACTGCTGATGTGAAGGACCTCCATCACAAGGGGGATGTCGACTCTACTTATTATCAACTCAACTGTGAACGGGTGGTAAGGAGAAAGCTGTCATACCATGGTCAGGAGTGGCACAGGAAGAAGCAAGAACGACGGGATAACTATAATAGAGGCAGGTCGACAGAGGGAGATTCAGAACAGGCCCAACAGGAGCCTACTACCACTGCTCCACGCATCGGTTATGATGGATATGGCACGGCGGCTATGAATCCCCTGCTCTTCTTGAGAGCGTCTAATTCGGCCTCTGAGGGCGCTGGGAAGGAAGACTTATTGAGTATGGTCAACAGGGCGGAGGCATCTCATGGCTTTGGGAAGGTTGAGGTACCCAATGGGGGTAAAGGAAAGGGTCGGAAGAGGCAGAATGTTGAGGGCACCATGCGCTCAACTGAGGAGGACAGGAGGCAGCCCAATCTCCCTATAGCTGTCATCAAGTTCTGTAAGAGGTATCGCCTGAGATACGAGGCGGTGAAGTTGAGGAAGACTTACCGAAGCATATCATTCGGACAACAGAAGTCGCTGAAACACGGCGGCCCCCCTGAGGCCCCTCCTTGGGAGGTTTACGTGAAGGCCAATGGGCTGGAGGGGACAACGCTGGCTCATGCGGTGTGGATATCAATCGGGGACTGGCAGAAGGAGGAAGGGATGGATAAGCTACTGGAGAGGAGGGTAGTGGTATTGGTGCCTCATGTACCGGGTACGGGGGTGTCTTTGGAGATGATTTCGGAGAGGAGTGGTACGGAGGCTAAGACGGTGTCGGTTTCTCACATGCAAAAGGAGTTGGGGTTCCCTCCTATGGTGTGTCCACCATTTGGCCATCAGTTTTCCCCCAACGTTGTCAAAGCTGGTGTAGATCCTTCCACTGTTAAACCTCCCAAAATCTTCATCAGTGAAGACCTCATCGCCTCCCCGATGGTTGTGTTCGACCTCGGCAACAGCGCCATGAAGATAACAGGAAGTCAATTGAAACGGTTGGTCGATTTAGGAGGAGATAGTGGCTGTAGTGCGGTATGCTGCGGAAAAGATATCTTGGTTAAAAAGACGGCATGAGGAGCGTTATTAATATATCACCACTTGTACTATTTTGTAACTTCTAGGAGTTCCTATTACGTCTCATATCCTCCCAGCTTGTGTTCGAGTGCTTGGTATGCTGCAGTGCAGTGTTTTCACTTGAGTCGGTTTAAATGTCTGAAATCTTCAGCGTGCGGAAGATACTTTGTAGGAGTATCTTGATGATGATGGTGTTGGTGGAGGGCTGGGATATTGATGGTCATGAAGCAGTTGGGATGGTGGCGATGTCGGCATTGGATGGGAGGGCATCCAATCAATTGAAGAGACTCCTTCAAGGGAAGGATGCTGTTGAAGATGCTGGTAGGAATGGCGTGGCTGGGGATTGAACTATAGACCTTTCGAGGGTTAGCTCGAGACGTTATCCATTACACCATGTCGGCTGTTTAGGATGGGCTCACAAGGCGGAGTCGGCCATTCCATGGTCCAAGCCGCTCCACTTCATAGCACAGTCTGAGCCGTTCTCAAGCACCCTAGTCGCCGATGAAATCACATGCCCTCAGGGCAACTGCCTCCTAGAGGCTATCAAACTGTTCTACGACCAAGCTAAAGGCGATACGTCGAAGGTAGCCTATGATGGCGTTCCTGGGGGAACTCATTTGGAATTTCCCACTTGGCTAGAAACACATTAGAAACAGTATCTGTCATCAGACCCTGAGGGTGTTATCTCTCAAGGTTGAATGGGTTCCTGCTTAGGAGTCCCAGAGGGACAGACTAATGAGGTCGTCGACGAGACTACCAGTTCCAGTGACGGATGCCGACGCCGTTAGATTCCTCATCAATTTGATCGGTGACATGCATCAACCATTACATGAGGGCTTCCAGAGTAGGTTATAAGGTTGGAGGAATATGCTGGTATATCTCTTGCAGTTGATGACTTTGGACGGAAGACTCTTGTCAAACTACCGGTTGGATCTACGACGTCTCTGTATGAGGTAGTAGTAGTAGGGAGGGCCTCCCACAAAGTCTCGACTCTGGAAAATACAGATCGTTCTGGGACGCCCACATTGGAGAATACAGTAGACCCCGGATCAATAATGTGTTCGAAAGAATTATTCAATAATAGATTTATCAAGGAACTGTGACAATGCTCGATGATGGCTCTTCGGAGAGTGAGGGCTGTGGAAGAGTTTACTTGTGATATTTTCGAGTCGCTAAATTTGGGCAATCGAAGTCTTCTGGTTGGTTCTCATCTGCCCGGGTTGATGGATGTCCATTCGTACAGATGTGGGACCACGAGATTATTCGAGCGACAATAAAGGATTATCCGCAGTTTTGGTGGAGTGGCTGGACTCGAATTGAAGGGGTGGACACTAGTGTAACCTCATCTGTATCTTGCGTGGTTGAACCTAAGATTCCTTTTTTCATTAGGCATACGAAGAAGACAAGAAGCTGTGGCACAAGGACAACAAGGCTGCCCTTGATAAGTGGTTCAATGAAAACGCAGAATTTGCGAATAAATTGTACTATGCGGGGATCGAACCTGCGACCTCCAGCTATCTCTATTTCAGCATCTACACCAACCCATTGACGGGTGAGCGCCTGCCACTGAACAATAATTCTCCTTACGAGATGGACCCGGCCCTATACGCTAGATGGCGACAACTGCTAACACAGCGTATATTGCTCGCTGGAGCAAGGACGGCTATCGTGTTGAATGACATCCTTGATTCAAGTGCTGCTCCTGGCTTGAGATCGGTAGTATTTAGCAAGGGAAAGTGCCTTATTCTCAATAAGGATAGTATTCGCAATTCTAGTCGAACCGAAGTCCCCACTGTTGGTGCTGTGCTCTTATTTAGAATGATGGAACATACTCTGCATATAAAACAGGAAATGGTTTTCGTTGTGATGTACTCAGGGAAGCATCGTCTCCCCAGAGCCAGCCAGTGACATAGAAATAGACGATGCTGAGTTTGGAGATCAACCAGGTCGAAGGAGGCGGAAATTGGACACCAAATCGGACATCTTATTACAGCTAACTCTCCTTGCGGTGGTGGTTGGTGTTGGTATAGGAGTTTACTTTATTATGACGATGATGTCCAAGAGGAAGGGAGGACAGGCGGGAGGGCCGCCAGCTGGGGGGATTAAGCTGTCGGCAGTTGGGCAGACCAAGAAGCAAATGGTCGATTAAGGCATCACATTGGTCACTTTTTTTCAACAATCTTCGCTTCGCGAGGGGATCTAAATTGTCATCATTTTATTCACCCGACCTCAAGAGGTTCGTCGTTTTTTACAGTTGATTTTCTTTCGAGTTGAGTGGCGTGTGGTACCTGACTGGGAGGATATCCGCAATGGAAATCCTTGTATAACATGGCCGGCTCTCGCCAGATAGCATCACTCGAGCTCATCTGTGATGAGCTGTATTCAGTAGGGTTGTGCATGCTTTTCCAATACGGCAAGGGTTGCTCAGCGCTCACCATCGAGGCCAATGTCCCCTTTAGGAAGTAGTATTCAGGGGGTACATCATATTAGAATTTCGGAGAAAGTTGGTATGGGAGAAAACTGATTCATCGACCTTACCCATTGGGACATCTCGCATCTGTCGTTTAACATGGCGGTCTTGGAGCTCTTGTAAAGATAGCAACACAAAGATTCGAGGATGTCCCCTGACAAGGTTTACCGCACCTACGGTCGTAAGCCTGTTACCCTCGTGAGCCTGGACCTTACCCAGGCTGTTAACAGGCTGGACCTATGGCCCCTAGATGCCAGCCTGTTACACCTCGGTCGAGGTCATCATTCACCTCGACCGTAACAAAAGAGCCCTTCTGAAGCAACTGCATCTCCCAGGGACATTGAATATATTACAGGAAAGCAACTTCATAGCCCCTGAATGTGTGCCGCGATTCATCGTATTCATATTATCACAAATTGTCGATGCCCTCATCTACTTCCATACGCGACAAGTCGACCTTTGGTAGAAAAGGCTACACATGACTGATCGGAGGGAAAATGCAAAAGTCTTAAGTACGTGACGGTGGATGATACAACACTTTACAAGTCGGCATACTCTATCTCTTCAAGGAGTCGAGTATACGCAGCTTCGAGCCATCGCCGCCTAAGAACCGACACATTATCGATCAAATCGCTTTCTGATTTGGTGATGAAGCTGATAGAGTCCACGGCCCTGATGCTTCCTAGTCGAGCAGTCCCCTGTCAGCATACCCATCCATGCTAAGTATTCATCATAGTTTCGGATCCACCCCTGTATGGTGTTGTTATAGTAGTAAGGGATACTCCCCAACGACGGTCTGTTGTGTCGGACACTGATCGCCTCTATTGAGGGGTTAGTTCCTCTCTCCCTACCGTTATGATGAACACAGGTCTCGAGGAAGTCCGTAAAGCCCGACATGAACAGTGGCTGCGGCAGAAGGCAGCAGCCCCTGATGCCTCGTCGTCCGTGGTGGAGGCTGGCAGTAGGAAGAGGAGCCTTCAAGAGGGTAGGTTTAGTGGTAAGGCTAGAACATCCAACTACCTCACACACATCCCTGCATTATTCCACATCACCCGTCTGTGCCCTCTAGATACTCAGGAGCCCTCCAGAGGCAGTCACCAAGAGGCCCCTACACTCACCAAACGGATGCGTGTTAATGCTCGTGATGGTGAGGCGATGACGTTTCGTTTAACCCCGTGTTGTTGTTGCCGGTTTCTCTCGTCCTTATGTTGTCCCTTTGTAGGTAGCAGTAGTAGCAAGGGTAACCTATCCCCAATATCCACCTTGAAGATCCTCTCGTGGAATGTCGATGGATTGGATTCACATTCGGATGAGATCGACATGACCGCCCGTACCATGTCAGTAGCCTCCCACATCATCGACCACAGGCCCCATATCGTCCTCCTACAGGTAGGCTACCCTGCTCCTCCTCATTCCTTTCGATCCCCCCGTCGCAGGAGCTCATCGACTTCAACACGACTTGGTTCCGACGCCTTCTCTCGAAGTTCTACGATTTCTACATACAGTCCTCTCCTCCTTTGCCCTACTTCGTCGGCATCCTCATAGACCGATCAGCTGTAGCCGTCCATGGTCCCCTCGTAACTGACAATTTCCCCAACACTAAGATGGGCCGGGCGCTGGTGAGGACCTCAACGCTCCTCCAATACTGCTGCATCCCCTCCCAGGTATCCTTGGATGGGGAGGTCCGCCTCCTGTCAGGCGCCCCCGTCAAGGTCCACATCGCTACAGCACATCTCGAGTCGACCAAAAGCTTTGGTAGAGCGAGAGTTGATCAGCTCAAGGTGGTCCACTCATTGGTTGCTGTCATTTTCGTCATCCTCAGGAGTCTTTCTCCGACATGCGTCGCTCCGTCGGCCACAGCAAATCACATTTGGCGATTTTCGGAGGAGACCTCAACATCCGAGACGACGAGGTCCGGCAGGCCCTCCTCCTCCCCAACGGGTCCAAGAAAGTCGACATTATCGACGCCTGGGAAGTTGGTGGAAACTCTTGATAGCAGTGACGATGGGATGATGTGTTAGGCCAGTGGACGGCCAAAGGACTCTGAGTTCACTTGGGATATGCGGATAAACGATAACTTGGGTATAAAGGGAAAGCCGAAAGCGAGGTGGACCCCTATGGAGGCAACTCGTGTTGATCGATCGCTTGGGCAGATTCGATCGTCTATACTTGGCCAACTCGGATACCATGAAGGTGTCTCCACAGGGCTTCCGACTCACAGGGACTACACGGTGTGATATGGATGAGGTCAAGGGGAAGAAAAGATTCCCAAGCGACCATTTTGGTATACAACTTGAAATGAAAATAGAGATGAAAGAGGAGAAAGTCATCGACTTGAGTAATGATAATTGAATATTTTTATATTCACTGTGGTTGAGTTCTTCTTAATCAGTTCCGACACAACTCAACACCACACAATTAGAACAATTGTTGCCAATCAAAGGGCGATCAGCACCACAAATCAATAAGCTCGAAGCAGTTGAGCTCTACACACCCCTTGTATAACAGGGTTGCTGTGATCAACTTGTCGCATGAATCAACTGTAGTAAGGTCCTCTGATCGCGGCCTACCGAGCCAACTGCCGGTCAGTCTAGGAGATATTTCCGGAAGGACTTCACATTGTCTCAGAGAATAACGTAACGCGGAGAGCTTTGTCTATCGCTTGATCGAACGATCCAGGTTCCATCCTCGCAGAAAGACATTTTCTCACGAGTTGGTCATACATGATCATCTTCTAGGTCATCGCCTACCTTCCAAGAACCCTCAACACTCCTACACCCGTCCATAACACAACAGCTATATATAAAAAGGAGCTCGTCGTTGATCATGATAATACTCCCAACCCCCAAGGGTGTGGGTGTGCGAAATTTTCAACAATACAATGTTAGAACCTCATCCCAAGATGATGGTATCGTCATCGATGAACTCATATCTAAAGACCAGTTGGTATCACCGCTACTACTACTACTACTACTACTACTACTACTACTACTACTCCCTTTTACGAGTCCTTACGTTGGTATCTCCATGTTTAATGGAGCCGGGCCAAGCCTAATCCTCCCAGAATGATCATAATGGCTACCATGACAAGGGCAGAAGTATCCACCATAGAGGCCTTGGTCGGGGTAAGGGACACAGCCGAGATGGGTACACACTCCGAGCATGACCAACCACTCCGGCTTCTTTACACGGTCCTTATCGCGTTCGGGGTCTCTCAAACTGTTAACGATTGCATCATCAGCAGTCGCTGCATCTATCATAGCTTGCGTACCTGCGTATGCTCAGATGTGGACATATTTTGCATCTTACATGCTTCAACCTAAGATATCCTTCTTACGTCTTCTCACAAAAACCGGTTTTCCCCTCCACTTAACAACAAAGTTCTGCCCTGGCTGAATACCCCTCAAGTCGACCTCAATAACCCCCGCAGCTATCGCATCGCGTGCTGGCCAAAGACCATGGACGACCTTAACCACCGTGCCTGAGATCTATGATATTTACCATACTAATAGGACGGATGAACTACCTCTCAAGAAGGCCAAACCAATGAGACCAAACATCCCTGTAGCGAAGTAGTGGAAGGGCCGGCGATCAGCATGCCAGGTTGGAAGGCGGGTGTGGCGGAAATCAAGATGGCCTTCAGGGACGCAAGTATCGGGACAAGGAATGTTCTCAGCATACCCAACAGGGCGGAAGTTATCCGGATTGAACCTGAGTCGAGGGTGCGTCCTTCAGACCGGTGGTCGTGATAATGATGATGACCTTGCAATGGATTGGATAGCAGGCTCTCCCTCTCGCTTCCACACATCAGTACGAGTGACGTTAGCGCCTGGAAAGGATACTCTCAGATACTCGATAGAGTCGACTTACCGGCGGCTAACTCTCCCTTGGCGACATCGGGCTTCCTTGGGAACACGGGTTCACGCAGATGCTCGTAATGACCATAGACGTACCTGTAGGGGGGCTGAGAAACCCAAGGCCTGTAGAAGGCCACTACTCTCCCCAGCCACGCATGATGTGGGGTCCCCACGGGTCTTCATCAGCTTACGAGTATCATCAACCTGAGAATGGTTAGATACGAAGGGACGGCAAAAGGACTGAACCCACCGGAGGGTACTTCCCGGTTTTCTCAGGGTCGGGGTGTTGGGAAATGTGGTCGACTTGGTCGAATCTGAGGGGAGATAGGTTCTTTAGGTTGACAGGCGGCGATAGGGTTACCTGTTGTACCACATAGGCTTCTCACTGGAGGGCTCAGTCCTCCAAGAGTCGATCATCTTCACAGTAGTTGGACGATGTAGACGAAACGCAGATGTATGGAGGAGACGACCCCTCTGGGTTGAAGGACGACGCCCCCGACCAGCGAGCAACATACTCATCAGTAGGAGGCTCAAAAATGGTATGGTACACTCTAGAATATTGCATAATATATGGCGATGCGTACTTAGATAGCTTAGAATTGGTTTTTATATCTCACGCCCACTGGATGCATTCAGAAACGCTACGATCATGAAAACAACACTTGAGGAGTGACCGGCGGCTGCTGCCCCGACGGGGGGCAGTTCACGGGCCGAACGTAGGCAAACCGGTAGGGGGCGATTGAGAAGGCTCGGCCCGATCTTTACCTGCCGGGGTTCCTCTCTATCTTTGGGGCTTGGCCGTGGACGACGAGAGTCGCATCGCTCAACCGAAGTCCCAACAGGAGGAGATC